CCTCTTTTAAGCCGCATGTTCTCCTAGGCGCTGGGACCCTATTGTAAACTGTATGTGAGGGATCTCGGAGGTGCTCCTTATGAGGATCCAATACCTGACCTGAGGTGGAACAGTTGCAATTCAAAACCAGCCCCCAGAAAAATTGTCTTCCATGAAACCCATCCCTGGTGCCAAAAAGGCTGGGGGACAGCTGGTCTAACGCGGGCTAAGATGTCAGTAGATTTTTGGACTCGGGCCTCAGTTGAAGAGGATTAGATTTTGAAAGGTGGGGATTGAAGACTTCTACAGGGCAGGTTTTCATCTCCAGTGGGGCCTGGGCAGAACTGGGTAGAACTGACCCAGAACATGACTATAGTCAGGCTGGCTCACTGCCTGCATCCTGTGTGTGCAGCCTTGCTGTTTATTCAATTGTCTCGTGGTGTGGATTCCATCCACAGCCTCAGAGTAGTGGAACCCATTACTTCAAGGCTGATCTTATTTAACTTTATCAAAAAGACATGAAAATCATTTAGTATAAATCTTCCAGATAGCTGTATCCTTTCTTTTCCCAGAGGCTTTTAACTATTGCAACTTAAAAATCTTCAAAAATAACTTTAAAGGAAAACCTCTAAGTACATTTTTGATGAGCACCCTTGACAGCTTTAATATGTGGAGTAAATTCCCTTGACTTTTGTATTCCTAGAAACTCGTTCATGTTTGCAGAAGACTTTGCATTTTGTCAACAGTGGCCACTGTTCGGTGACCATCATACCTGCCGTGTCTCATTTAGAAAGTTGGATGTGGATGTATTAACTTTTCAGACACAAAAACACATGGGCTGTTCGTTTCTGGTTTTGATTTTTTTGTTTTTTTTTTCCCCTCAGCTGAATTCAAGAAAGGGAAACAAGCAGACAGAGTAAGTACCAGAAAGCGTCTAAGTTGTTGGGTGGGGGATCCTACTATGGTGTTGGATTGTGTTCTGCCAGACATCACTCCTCAAAAAGTTGACCCTGAAAGGGCTGGCATTGCCCTCACCCTGCGACATTCGTCTATCTCACCAGAAAATGAAGAATCTGCCAGAGTACTGTGAGTCAAATTCAGTCAGAACTCGATTAAATAAGAGGCTTTGTCTCAAAGGCCAAAACATGAGGACACATTTTTAATTTTATTTATTTTTATTTTTACTTTTATTTATTTTTATTTTTATTTTTATTTATTTATTTATTTTTTTTGAGACAGAGTCTTGCTCTGTCGCCCAGGCTGGAGTGCAGTGGCGTGATCTTGGCTCACTGCAAACTCTGCCTCCCAGCTTCACTCCTCTCTTCTGCCTCAGCCTCCCGAGTAGCTGGGACTACAGGTGCCCGCTACCACGCCTGGCTAATTTTTTGTATTTTTGGTAGAGACGGGGATTTCACCGTCTTAGCCGGGATGGTCTCGATCGCCTGACCTTGTGATCCGCCTGCCTCCTCCTCCCAAAGTGCTGGGATTACAAGCGTGAGCCGCCGCACCCGGCCGAAAACATGCTTCTTTACTGCCTCAGTCCTCAGTTGGGTAGTGTGTTCTTTGTCTTGAAAGGCGCGCTCTGCGAGATGGGAATCTTCCGGTTGCTTACTTAGGGAATCCTGCCAGCTGTCATTGACTGGAGAGCGCAGTTTCCTGGCTGCCCTGGTCTTTGAGGGGAGGGAGACTGAAGGATCATTTTCCTACCTGGACCAACGTGTTTATTAAACCTGGCTTGTGGATCCTTTGGATCTTTTTATGAAGGAAAAGCCACATCTGTGACTTTCAGATGAGTGGAAGTCATGTTAAAATAAATAAATAAACAAATAAATAAATAAATAAATGTATATATTTTGGCTACTATGGAGAAGTTTTGTCCTTGTGACCTGTGAATACAGTCACGGGAGAGCAGAATGTTCACGGTGTGGGTGCTTACAGTGTACATGTAGAGTCACATTCTTCACTAGTATTACGTTAAAAAGTGACAAATAAGAGAAAAATATTTTGCTCATTACAACCTCGGTAAGAAGCTGGCAGTGCTCTTGTTTTTGGAAGGGTGTGAAGGGAATATTGAGAAAGTATCATCAACGTTAGACTCACCCACTCTGCAAATCCTGGGCCGGCTCGCGTGAAGACCCCGTGATGGAAAGATGCACCCTTCTGCCCGGAAGGAGGTGAATCTTTGTAGCACTCAGGATGCATGGTTCATCTCTATATAAAGGCAGAGTGTGAAACGCCATGGAGGCTGGGAGAAGAGATGTAGTTAGCAAGTATGAGTGAGAAGTTTGGGGCTTGTTAGCACCTGGCGTGTGTGCAGCAAGCTTTGCTATCTGCACACGTGTGATCCTTAGAACCCTGGCGTGTGGAGCCATGAGGCTGTCGAGGGCCCCAGCTCCCGGCAGGCTGAGGAGTTCCCTGTTACCACCAGGAGAACCGTGATTGAAGGCTGTCACTCAATCCCAAGTCCCGGAAGGGGCTCCTTTCAGAGAGGAAAACACCCCTAGAGCCTCGGACAGAATTCAGTGATTTTTCTTATGATGTTGCTTAGATTTCGCAAACATGAAACCAAGAACATATTTCAGAATGCTTATGGTTCTTTTGTAACCATGGAAACAAAGTAATTTGCAGTCCATGGACAGTTTGCAGAAGCTGAACTGCCTACAGCATGAGCGCAGCGCTCTCCCTACCGCCCTGGGCCTTGCTCCGGTTTGCTGGGGAGGCTTTGCAGGGCCTCTTGGCTGGGATACGTCTCCCGTGTCCCATGTTGCTACCCCTGGTCACAGCCATACTACTGGGCACCTGTGCCGTGAGGACACTGAGTGGACACGGAGCCGCGGGGCAGCAGTTGGTCATGAGGTGGTATCCACATGGTCGGAAATAGGTTTCTGTTCATTTCTGTTCATTAAGAATGATCGTTGCAATAAAAACATAGAGTGAAAGAAAACCCTCTACTGACCTGAGAATGCGTCGGCTGAGTTGGATGGGGAAGTGCAGTGAGGAAGGTGAGGACTGAAAGGAAATGAAGGAGGGAGAGGAAAGGAGAGAAGGGAAGTGAAAGTGGGAGGGAGGATGGGAGTGAAGAGGGAGATGGAGGAGGAGGAAGAAGAGAGAGGGCGGTGGGCAGGAGCCTGGGAAATGAGTCCCAGAGTCGGTTCCTGACCGTCGTGGGTGCGTCAGAGCTGGTCTTCCAGGAGAGGTGGCCTGGGAGGGCTGACCCTTAGGAAGTTAGGGCTGGGGGGAGCTGATTTTTTGGCCCTCAGCGGGGCTGTTTGCTGACCTGAGATGCAGTCGATGGTTATCCCGAAGAGGTCGTTGCACAGCCACCGTTTGCTGCCAGGTTGGAGAGAGAAGTGCTCCCCATGGGTTCTTTCTATTTTGTGGAGTTTTCCCAGTTTAGCTGAGCAGCCTGTCAGTGGAACTGTCAGTGATTACTAACATGTCTGCATTCTACAGAGCAGTCGGCCAGCTTCCGATCCTGTAGTTGTTGGGGGCACCACTCCCATCGTGTCAGTGCTGGCCTAGCATGGAAGCCACAGCCGGAGGCACTGGGAAACCTGCGTGGCTCTTGCTGCGGGGTTCTGATGGGAGTCGTGCGCTGGAAGAATGATGTCCTTTAGGCAGAGCCTGGCGAGGAGGGGTGCTGCTGTTGCAGCAGTACATGGAATTTCAAACGACGAACGAAACAAGCTTTTAATTATGACCAGAGTTCTATGCCCTGCTTTTCTTCAAATGGAAATGTTGTGCTGAAATGAATTTGCTGTTAATCGGTTGCCTCATGCAAGACGGAATGCTGGGAGCAAAGTAGAATGTGGACTTCTCTACGAAGCTTCCTCCTCTCAGACTATAATCAGCTGGATGGTGCTACACAGGAATATGTGAGAATTCGTGTGAGAAAGGCGATGGGTGCAGACCTGTGTGACCGGCAGGTGTTGGGGGAGGTTTGAGAGAAGCTTTTGGCTGAAGTGGTGTCAGGTGCAGGTGCTGAAGCGTGATGTCTGGCTGGATGGAAGAGCACACGCCTCTGGGCTGGGGGAAACAGATAAAGGAGGAGGTGGGCAGACATGAGTCGTGTCTTAGGAATGGTAGCAATTCAGGCAGATTCAGGATCAGGCTCCCACGGGGGAGGAGTGGACATCAGGACCCAGGGAGCGTGGGGCGGGGGTCATGCCCAGGCCTCTGCGGAGCTTGCTGCTGTGTCAGCAGGGCCCTGTGCTTGCCCTCCTTAAAGCTTTCCCGATCCATAAAACGGGCACAACAAAATCCACCTTGTGACATTGAAGCTTAAATGAGATGATCTACATGGTGTCTTCCTTCCCTTCCTGACACATCCTAGACTCACAGCTATGGTAGCAGCGACAGACTGGATGGAATGCTGGAGCCGCTTTGCGCCTGGTGAAGCCACATGGATTTGTGCAGTGCTGGCGACTGTCTCTGAAAGCCTTTGGTCATGGCAGTGGCAGCCTCGAGTGGCTCTTGGCATACTTCAGTCTGTGGAGTGCAAGGTTGACTGGATCTCCGTGGCCATTGATACTATTCAGGGGTGAGCTGATGGGACCCTAAAACATGGGGGAAGGCCGAGAGGACTTGGCGGCCAAGAAGCATTGTAGATTTCTGGCTTCGAGAACTTGCTGACTTATGGACATAGGAAGGTAAACCCAGATGGCTCCAAAATTGTAAGTCCACAAGAAAGGTGGGAGGGTACAATTGCTGAGTAGGTCATGGTTGCCCTGTCCCTTTCTTTCTGGCCATCGTTTCTGCTCCCTCCCCCTGCCTTTGTGGGCTGGAGGGCCTGAGCCTGCACAGTGGTCTATTTCATGGTGACGATGGCTGATTATTACCCTGCACTAAGAAGTCTCTCCACTTTATTTTGCAGCAGTAGGTAAATACATTTAAGGAGTGATGGTTTAGTGGTATTTGTTTTGTTTTTGCTTTTTGTTTTTTAAAGTATCATTTAACTGAATGTTATTGCCAATTTCACTGATCACTTTGAGATGCCAAAACATGCTTTGATTTGTTATTTTTTGTTTCAGCTAGTTTATTGTGTCACAGGAATGCCAATTATTCTGTTGTCACACATCATTAAGTATCTCAAATTGTGTTACTATAACACTTAGCTGAATTACCTCCCTTATTTTGGCTTTTAAAAAACTAAAATCTGTGTGAAACACACAGGATGGTGCATGTCCATTGAGGGTTGTTGAGAAGTGTGACTTTTCCTGGCATGCTTGAGAATCAGTGACATTATTTTATAGAAACACTTTGTAACTGACACTAAAACTAGAAGTTCCTGTAAGGGGCAGAGTAGGCAACGTGTTATGTTTTGTGTGTCACAGAAGTCTCTGCATATATTTCTTTTGTTAAAACTTCAAAGTGTAAAAACCACTTCTGGTTCCCTGGCCAAGGCTCAGTCGGGGATCATGGTTTGCAGACCCTTGACAGCAGCTGAGGTGAAAGCTGGTCTCCCATGCGGTGAGCAGGAGCCCACCTCATTGCTTCAGCCAGGAAGATGCTGCCCTCATGCTGGAATTTACTTCAAACAAACTTGAAAGCTCTGGCACCGCTGCTCATTTCCATACTGTTGCAGGCTATCTAAAATACGGAGCATGCCTTGGCGTTTTGATTTTGTTACTCCTCTTGAACGGCTCTGAGATGGCTCATCACAAGTTAGACACTTGCAGAAATGATCAAGCAGAGCTGCAGTCATCTTGCAGATCAAGTGAAGTTTTTTCTGAAAGCTTGTTACAGGCTTAAATTTCTGATCCCTTTCCATCCACTGATCTTGTATGATTGGTTTCTTTTTGCACCCATTTGGGCTGTGAAGCGTCTCCCCACTGTGGTAGAACTTTAGCTCTGATTTCATGCATAAGCCGGTATCCTCACTCCTCTTCTGCGAGGAGAAAGCGCTGCAGGTCCTGCGTGGTTTCCGTCCCCTCCCTGCACGCGGATGGATTGGGAGGTATTTGTGGTGTGTGAACTTGCTACCCCTAGAGGCTCCTTGTTCACTCCCCTGGATCATACTCCTCCCTACTCCCATAGACTGCACTCCTCCCTCGTGGTTCATTCCCCGGACCTCATTCCTCCCTCCTCCTTCCTGGCTCACTCCCCTGGACCACACACCTCTCTCCTGTTTCACTCCTTGGACCACATTCCTCCCTCCTGGTTCACTCCCTGGGTCGAACTCCACCCTCCTCCCTCCTGGTTCACTGCCCTGGGCCCCCACGCCTCCCTCCTGGTTCACTGCCCTGGGCCCCCACGCCTCCCTCCTGGTTCACTGCCCTGGGCCCCCACGCCTCCCTCCTGGTTCACTGCCTTGGGCCCCCACACCTCCCTACTCTCCTGAGCCGCATTCCTCCTTCCTGGTTCACTCCCCTGGGTCCCCACTCCTCCCTCTTTTGGGGGCTTGGTAGTTTCTGCTGTGCTTGTGCCAGCACGATAAGGCTGAGTTGGCAGCTCCAGGGCTGTGGCTGCTCACGCAACTGTGGCATTAGTGCAGAGAACTGCGGGGATGCAGCTGCCCTTGCTGTGATGCTTCGAGTGTCATAGTCGATATGGGAAACTGGGTGGGATGTGGATGTCCCAGGAAGGGACAGGAGCCTCCACTCAGCCTCTGTCAAACACTTCTCAGCCAGGCGTGGTGGCTCATGCCTGTAATCCCAGCGCTTTGGGAGGCCGGGGCGGGCGGATCACCTGAGATCAGGAGTTGGAGACCAGCTTGGCCAATGTGGTAATTTTTGACGCATTAAGGATTAAGGAAAAAGACTCACGCTCGTTTGCCTTGCTTTGTAATTGACGATTGGTGTAGCCCAGTAGTGTGAACTTGTTAAGCAACCATTCTTACCGCAAGACTAATCTTTAAAACTCTCTTCCTCTGGACACGTCTTTGGCTGCTGTAATCAAATGCAATATAATCAGCACTGGTGAATGGCTTTCCTTGCTGGGCTAACAAATGCTCCTCAGAAACGTTGGTTTCTTGTTATTTTCATTTATAAGTATGTTTTAAGCCCTCTAATTTTTCTAGCTTTCCTGCGAGTTAGGAATAACTGTGATGGGTGCTTAGTTTGGGATGTTGACGTACACTCTATGCCCAGCTACTATGCCATTGAGTGAACACTGATTTGTCACTTTCTCATGAAGACTGATTTCACCTAGTTTGGTAAATTCTATTAATTTTAAGGAAGGGGGTGGAATGCAACTGCTGTTAGGAGGCTTTTTTAAGGATCAAGGAAATGTTGCCATGATTATTACCATTACAGAAGGAACATAAAAACACGTGCTGCCTTCAGTCATGATGAATATGTAAGTCCGCATCTGTGACTGCAGAACACGGCAGCCCTAAATCTTAAAATCGTGTGGATGCACCAAGCCCATCTGCAGGGCACTGTGGAGCAGCCTGCGTTAGCCGAAGTTGGCCCACAAGCCCTGAGGGATGGTGTCTGAGTTATGATAAGGCTCTGACTTGGGATTAAACAGGCCTCCAAATACTGTGATATTCTAAACAAAGACACGATACTGCCCAGGGAGCCCAGTGGACACCTGTAGGCAGTGTAGGTGAGAAAAGGCTCCAAGGAAGATTCCTGCAGCTCAGCTAGGAGGATTCTGTAAGGCAGTAGACACATCAATGTTCACATAGGAGTGTTGAGCTATATTCATTCCTTTTAAGCAGCCAGGCTTGTGTGTGTTTTCAGGGGCACTCACATGGCGCCCCTTCCACCCTCACTGCTGGTCAGGTGAGGTGTTCAAGACTAGCCTGACCAACAAGGTGAAATCCCATCTGTACTTAAAAATATAAAAAATTAGTGGGCGTGGTGACAGGCGCCTGTAATCCCAGCTACTCGGAGGCCGAGGCAGAAGAATCACTTGAACTCGAGAGGCAGAGGTTGCAGCAAGCCGAGATCGAGCCACTGCACTTCAGCCTGGGTGACAAAGGGAGACTCTGTCATAAGAAAAAAAAGATTTTACAAAACCCTACATGCCCCTAGTTGCTTCTGTAGGAGACGGCATGTTCCCGAAGGTAGACTTTGTGTTGAGGACTCTGCAGCGTCAGGCTGGAGACAGTCTCCCTTCCTAGCAGCGTGGGCCCCTGGGCTGCTCTTCTACCAGAAGGGATGGTGGCATCTCTGGGAGGTATCTGTGGACTCAGATCTGTGTGGATTAGTGACTTGTGTTACTCGCAGATACATAATTTTATGGGTAAATGAATACCTGGACTGGCTGCAACTTCAGGACGAGATTCGGAAGTAGGGAGTGAAAAGTGAGGACGGAACCCTGGGCTTGTCTTGCCGCCCCCAGGACCCGATCGGGGCGCCTTCTCATCTGAAGTCCCAGCACGAGGTCACGGTGGCCCTCCCCTCTGAAGCCCCCAGCAAGTGATTGGGGCATCACTCCCCTCTGAGGCCCCAGAACCTGGTCGGGGCGCCCCTCCCTTCTGAATCCCCCATTACCTGGTCGGGGCGCCCCTCCCTTCTAAAGCCCCCAGACCCTCCTGGCCTGCGGTGCTGCTTCTCCAAATGCTGCCCTTGGCTGTTTTCCAGGAGTCACCTGCACCCGAGCAGGCTGCCTGTTTCACTTCTCGGATCTGGGGTGTCGGTGAAGCTCATTTATCTTGTCTTCCTCCTCATGTGCCATATCTCACCTATTGTCTGTCAGAGTTCGTGTGAGTAGGTGTTGTGCGTGTTGTGCGTTCTCAGGCTGTAATCGGTGCTTAGGTGACAAGAGCGTCTTAGAGCAACGGACTGTCTGCTCTAAAGGACGCTGTGGATGAATCGAGACACGGTTTACTTGTGGGGTTTAAATTTCCTGGGTGTTGGAGGCAATTGGGGAAAAAAGGTCTAAAAAAGCCCCTGGGGATGAGGAAGGCAATAATGAAAAAAATTACTCTATACACACTTAGCAGTTGATTTAATTTGTAGGTGAATTTTGCATTTTGGGAACTACTAAAGCTACTGTTTGTAGGGATTCCTTGATGAGCTTCTTGTTTTCTGTCAAGTGGAAGGTAAATTGGATCGGTTTTGTCTTTAATTCTGACTGACTAGGATCTACTTTCTTTTTCCCCCCATTCACGTTAGGGTGGGGATTGGACTAGAAGAGCTGTAGGATCTCTTTATTTCTGATCTTAAATGAATTTTTTCATTACTCACCTTTTTTTTTTTTTTTTTTTTTTTTTTTTGGTGAGCTGCTATTTTTTCCTTTAATGCACTGTTCTTTGGTTTGGGAAATGTGGTCTATTTGTATCGTGCTTTAAATGTACACAATGGTTCTAAATTGCTATTTTTCATTAAAGTTAGATATAACATCTTAATTAAAATGTCATCTAAAAATCAGGCACAATCTGAGGCCTGGAGACCCCTCTTGTCACTTCCAGCCGTGTCTCCTTCCCTGGCCACGTTGCCTCTGGCCACATCTCCTCCCCACACCACACCGTGTTATCCCCACAGCACGTCACCTCTGGCGACATCAACTCCCTCCTGGCCACATCACCTCTGGCCTCACTGCCTGCCTCCCTCCCTCCTGGTGGCCTCCGTGGCTCCTGCTGTCTGCCCTCCCGTGGGTGTGTTCGAGGCTCTTTCCCCATTTTCTGCTCCTGAGTGGGTCTCGGGGTCTGGATGTTTCACAGGATGCAAGTTTCTTCCCTTCCAGCCACGGGTCTCTGAGCGACAAGTCCAGAGAGGGCACTAAGCTCTCCTTACCCACCTGGGGGCCCCGAGCCCTGACCGCCGACCACCAGGGCTTTTCTGTAGGGTGTGGGGCAGACTCATGCGTGAATTGGGCTAAAAAGGTGCTTCCAGGAATCCTTGTTTTAAGTGCACTGGAGCAGAGCTGGGGAGCGGGGACCACCTGGTTTGCTCAGAATTTGGTCCTGATCACAGCCGATGAGTCAACATAAGTACCTCCTGAATGAAGCATTCCACAGACTGATTTTACACATGACGGCTGTGGCTGGAAAAGGCTTCTCACACAATGAGAGAGTTTGAGCTGCATTTGAAGGAAGAACAGGTCCCTGTAGGTGGAAATGAAAGATAAGGGTGATCCAAGCCCTCAGCAGCAGCGGGGGTGGGGTGGTGCAGACTCCCCATGGATGGTGGGCATGGCTGAAATGCAGGAGAGGGCAGGGGTGCGAAGCAACAGCAGGGCGGCATTAAAATTCCCCTGCAGAGAGGGGACGTGACTGAGATACTATCACATGTATACAACTGAGAGATGATTTGAGAATGATTTCTGGGAGCCTGTGGGAAGAGCACGTGGTCATCATCAGTTCTTGGGATCTCTTTATGAAGTGAAAGAGCCGTGCCTCTGCCTATCTTGTGAGCTGTTAAGATCAAATCGGATAATCTTCAGTGAGCCTTGTAAATGCTAAAGTTTATGACAGGCTGTTCCATCCCCCTTGTCTTCACCCTCCTTTCCTCCTCGGAAACGTGAACCCTGCTGGGTACCTCATTATCTGCCTGGCTTCCTCATCCATAACGTGAGCCCTGAGTACTTGCTGGGTATCTCGCTGTTCACCTTCCTTCCTCAGTAACATGAACCCTGAGTATTTGCTGGGTACCTCGCTGCCTGCCGTACAGCTGGTTGTATCCTTCTCAAACGCACTTAGCTGGCACATAAGCAGAAGTGCTCGCCGGGCTTTGGGAGGGCTTTCTGACATGTGGGTGCCTGCTTTTCCCTGTTAGGCTGGAGCTGCAGGAGCCCTCCTAGACCAGACAGAGGACCAAGGCTGTGGCCTCGGGGTGGGGGCTGGGGGAGCTCGCTGGGTTTATTGTGTGGGTGAGAGTAAACTTCAGTCCCACTGCGGCATCGGGATTCAGGGTTCCTTCTGGAATGTTCTGAGTGAGAAACAGGAAGTGTGCACAGGTGCGTCTTCTGCGGATTTTATGGTTATCTTGAGAGAGCACTGGTGCCTCTGAGCTATGAACCTGCAGAACCACTTCCACTAACGGCCGCCTTTATAGAAAGAATGACTTGCAAACGATGCCACTTCAGATGGAGGTATTTGCAGGTGTGGCCTGAAAAATGAACAAAATGACTTTCATCTCAAGGAAAGTACCTTACATTATTCCCAATGATAGACATTTGAGCTTTCCAATGAGTATTAAAATATAAAAATCTTGTGTCCACCACTTTCTCATGTGATCAATGGTGATATTGATGTGTTTTTGTTTTTGATATAGAACGAAATGTGGAAGTTGCTCATAATTCTGAACCAGTGTTTTCTAACCAATGTGTGATTACAAAATCGTGTGCTGGTAAAAGCCATTCAAGTGCAGGACGGACCAGTCGACTCAGAAGGAATTGGGGCAGAAAGGCCCGTCGACCAGAGCGCAGTCTCTGCGTTGCAGACAGCCTGTACGGAAGTGCCACTTGTTACATTTGGCAGCAGAGAATACCTAAAATGATCTGAAAACACAATGAAAATACTGCTTCCTACTTGTATATCAGCGTGGGGTCGGACTTCTTTCATAAACTTCAGCCACGGCTCTGCAGCCCACTGAACGCAGATGCAGGCGTGAGAACCCTGCTGTCTGAGGTGCAGAGATGTTAGGTGTTTTCACAGCAGCACAAACTCTTGCCACGCTGCTACTTATTTTGGAAAATGGTTTCTTCTTGAAGACTGTGTTAAGATGTAATGACTTTATCGTTGTAAAATAAACTAAATTGTTATCTTTTTTCTTTTTTTTTTTTTTTGAGACGGATTCTTACTCTGCCACCCAGGCTGGAGTGTAGTGGTGTGACCTTAGCTCACTTCAACCTCTGTCTCCTGAGTTCAAGTGATTCTTGTGCCTCAGCCTCCCTAGTAGCTGGTACTACAGGTGTTCGCCACCATGCCAGGCTAATTTTTGTATTTTAGTAGAGATGGGGTTTCGCCATGTTGGCCAGCCCAGTCTTGAACTCCTGACCTCAAGTGATCCACCTGCCTCTGCCTCCCAAAGTGCTGGGATTACAGGCATGAGCAGCCACCACTCCTGGCCTGATGAGAAAGCTTTTTTGTGATCTTGAATAAAGTGCAAAGGGTTCCTGAGACCCAAAAATTTGAAAACTACTGGCTTAAACTGAGAAAATTGTCCACGATTTTTCAGTGTATCTTCTAATCTGTTGATGGAGAAAGGACGGTAAGGGTTGCTTTACTTTTTTCCTTTCAGAACTCAATGGTGCTGGGACAACTAGGGTATCCACATGGAAAAGGATGGACTGGACCCTTCCTCACCCTACACGCAAAGCTCAAAATGGATCTAGCGTAAGGAGTCGACTGTGAGACCCATTCTGTCAGTCTGCTGGGTACCATAACGGACACCACAGACCGTGCGGCTTAAACAACAGCATCTTATTTGCTTTTTTGTGGAGACTGGAAGCCTGGGATCAAGGTGCGGCCAGTGTTGGATTCTCTGGGGCCTCACCCCGTGCTGTGTAGACGGCGTCCTCTCTGTGTCCTCACAGGTTTCTCTTATGTGCATGCAGCACTGAGGACTGTGTCTAAATTCTCGCAAAAGAATACCAGTCATACTGGATCAGGGCCTACTCTTAAGATCTTACGTGACCTAAATTTCCAAGTTAAAGGCCCTGTACACTTAGGTACAGTGACATTTTGAGTTTCCGGGGTTGTGACTTTAACATGGGAATCTTGAGAGGGGGGACAGTTCAGCCCATGACACCTTTAGGGAAGAATCCTGGTGAAACTGCTACTTTGGATTAGGCAATGTTTCCTTGGCTGAGACGTCTAAAGCTGTACCAAGCAACTGAAGGGAAAAAGACGGGATCAAAATTAAAAATGTTCATTTCAGAGGATACTCTTAAAGTAAAAAGACAACCCACAGAACAGGATACATTATCATGATAAGGACCTGATATCATGAATATATTTAAAAGCTCTTAGTAAAAATCCAAGTTAAAAATGGACAAGGGATTTGAATAGACATTCTCCAAAGAAAGACATATAAATGCCTTAAAAAGCACATGAGATGTTTAGCAGAATTCATCATCTTAGAAATGGAAATCAAAACTACCGTGAGATACCACTTCACAACCACCGGGATGGGTAAAACCCCAGTATTGGACAGTGACATGGTGGTGAATTTGGGAAAACTGAAATCTTGATATATTGCTAGTGGGAGGGGAAGTAAAATAGTACAGTTGATTTGGAAAAGTCTGGCAGTTTCTCAGAAAAGTTAAGCATGAAATCACCGTACAACCCAGCAATTTCACTCCTAGGCATACGCCCAAGAAAATGGAAAATATTTTTGCCAAAAAAATCTTATGCAAGAGTCTTCATAGCAGCATTATTTGTAGTAGTAGAAAGAGTCCAGGTATCTGTCAACAGGTCACTCACTGTGAGATTCCACTCTCCTTGGACGTGAAAGATGTCAGCACCGAAGGTCACGCACTGTACGATTCTCCTCACAACAGGTGTCCAGAATGGGCAAATCCAGAGAAACGGAAGTCGGCTGGCGATTGCCAGGGGCTGGTGGAAGGAAGGAGCAGGTGCTGACTCTTAATGGGTTCAAGGTTTCTTCGGCCCGTGGTGAAAAAGTCCCGGAATTACATACTAGTGGTTGATGTACAGCTTTGAGAATATGCTAAAAAGACTGAATTGTATCCTTTAATATTGGGGCTTTTATGGTTTGTAAATTCCTTTCAATTTCAAAAGGAACTCAAGAACTTCTTTGGTGTTGATATTTGGATTGTGAAAGAGACAGTATCCAAAACAAGTTACTATGTAACTCACGTCCCCAGAGTTAAACTTCATTTTCTGAGGATCTTAAAGGAAGTGTGTGAGCCTAGGAGACACAACGATCCTATACTAGATGTTACACCCCATCTTACTGATTTCTATCTCACATAACCATATTCAGGGAAAAACGACATGTAAACGTGAGCTGAATGCTATGCAGAGACACATTCCTCTTACCCGGATGATCTTTAGTGTTGCAGTAAGAGATGAGGTCATAGCAACGTTAGTTTAGCTAGTTTAATTTCCATGGCAACAGGAATTTGGCACATCTCATGAATTAGGTTCAGAATTAACAAAGTTTTGTGGTGGTGGTTCTTTGCTTTGACACAGATTCAATATAATGAAATTTGTACCACCTTTAGGCAAAATTGAGACCAACAGAAGAAAAATGTAACATGGAGTCTTGAAGTTGTGCCAATAGAAGAATTTTAAAACATATTTGCTTTTTAAAATTGTTTTGTGGTCATATAATTTGCATTCAATAAAGTGCACACAACCTAAAAAAAAAAGAATTAACTAAATGAAAGAGCTTCTGCACAGCAAGAGAAACTATCAACAGAATAAACAGGCAACCTGCAAAATGAGAGAAAATATTAGTAAAATATGCATCTGACAAAGGACTAATATCTAAGAACTATAAGAAACTAAAATCAATGAGATAAGAACAAATAAACCCACTAAAAAGTGGGAAAAGGGAATCAGCAGATACTTCTCAAAAGAAGACAACAAGAATATAAAAAATTCTCAACATTACTAGTCAACAGAGAGATTTGAGTTAAACCACAATGAGATACCATCTCACACCAGTCATAATGATTATTATAAAAAGTAAAAAAAAAAAAGGGTTGTTTTCAAGGTTGTGGAGAAATGGCAACATTTATACATTGTTGGTAGGAATAAAAATTAGTTGAGCCACTGTGGAAAGGAGTTTGAAGATTTCTCAAATAACTACGAACAGAAATATCAGTCAACCCAGCAATCTCAGTGCTGAGTACACACCCAAAAGAAAATAAATTATTCTACCAAAAAGACACATGCACTCATATATGTTCTTCATAGCACCATTCGCAATAGCAAAAACCTGAAATCAACCTAAATGCCAATCAATGGCCGAGAGACTAAAGGAATGTGGTACATACACATCACAGACTACTACATAGTTATAAAAATGAATGAAATCTTGTGCTTTGCAACAACTGAATGTAGCTAGAGGCATTATCCGAAATGAATTAATGCAGAAACATAAAACCAAATATTGCATGTTCTCACTTATAAGTGGGAGCTAAACATTGGGTATACATGAACATAAATATGGCAACAGTAGACACTAGGGATTCCACAAAGGGAGAAGGGGGGAGGTAAACAAAAATTGAAAAATTACCTAGTGGATACTATGTTATCTATTTGGGTGACAGACTCATTAGTAACCAAAACGTCTGCATCATGCAATATATCCACATAAAAAACTGACACATGTACCTTCTGGATCTAAAATAAATATAAAATATTTTTAAAAAGATATTCCATGAACATGGAAAGAAAAAGAAGAGGTAGCTACATCTATTATTTCAGGCAAAACAGACTTTATGTCAAAAACTGTAACAAAGAAGGTTATTATGTAGTGATGAAGCAATTAACTCCTCAAGGGGATATAAGAATTATACATAAACATGCACCCTAAATTGGGAGCTTCTAAATATATAAAACAAGCATTAAGAGATCTGAAGAAAGATATAGATTGCAACATAGTAATAGTAGGAGATTTCAGTTCCCCACTTTAAACAATAGATTATCCAGTTAGAAAATCAATAAGGAAGCATTGGATTTCAACTATAGAGCAAATGTATCTAACAGATATACACAGAGTTTTCCACACAACAGCAACAGAATACACGTTCTTTTCAAGTATACACCTATCATTCTCCAACTTAGATCATATGTTAGGCACAAAACAATTCTTAACAAATTTAGGAAGATTAAATCATGTTAAGTATCTTTTACAACCATGATGGTTTGAGACTAGAATTCAATAATAGGATGAATTATGGGAAATTAACAAATGTGGACATTAAACAATGTGCTCTAGAACAAGTATTGGGTCAAAGAATAAATTATAGGCAAAAATTAAAAATATCTTTAGCACCTAAAAATAGAACACAGAATATCAAAATTTATGGGGTGCAGCAAAAACAGTTCTAAGAAGGAAACTTACAGCAATTCTTATTTTTCTTCATAAAGAAAATGAAAAACAATCCCATGGGTAATGCTGCATGCCTGTACTCTCTCCTACCCAGAGGGAGGATCAATCGAGCCTGAGTTCAAAGCCAGTGTAGGCTATGTTGTAAGACTTTGCCTCTAAAAATACTATTTTTAAAAAAAGAAAGATCTGAAAAACCCAGTGTTACACCTGAAGGAACTGGGGGAAAAAAAGGAATAAAATAAGCCCAAAGTTAGCAGAAGGAAAGAAATAACAAAACCAGAGCAAAAATAAATAAAATAGAGACTTTAAAACACCTAAAGAAATTGAAGAATCTATGAGTTGGTTTTTTGAAAAGGTAAACAAAACTGACAAACCTTTAGCTACACAAACTAAGAGAGGCTTCAATAAAATCAGAAATGAAAGAGACATTACAATGAATAACACAGAAATACAAATCATCAGAATAAACAACTATATGTCAACAAATTAATCTGATAGAAATGGGTAAATTCCTTGAAACATAACCTAGCAAGACTAAAACACAATAAAATAGGAAATCTGAACAGACCAATAATGAGTAAGGAGATTACATAATTAAGTCTCTCATCAAAGAAAACCCCAAGACTTCATAGCATCATGGCTGAATTCTACTAAACATTTAAAGAAGAGCTAATACCAATCCTATTCAAATTCTTGCCAAACCTGAAGTGCAGGAAGCACTGCCAAACTCACTTTACAAGGCTGGAATGATCCCCATGCCAAAGCCAAAGAAAAACACTATAAGAAAAGAAAACCACAGACCACTATTCCTAATGAACACAGATAAAAATATTGTCAACAAAATACAAGCAAACCATATTCAACAGTACATTTAAAAGATCATTCACCATGATCAAGTGGGATTTATCCGTGGGATGCAAGGATGATTCAATGTATACAAATCAATAGATGCAACATAATTTAATAACAGAATGAAGGACAAAAACATATCAGTATCTCAACACACACAAAAAGCATTTGACTAAATTTCACATCTTTTCATGATTAAAAAACTCTCAATAAATTAGGTATAAAAGGAATGTTTCTCAACACGATAAAGGCTATATTCAAAAAGCCCACAGCTAACATCATAATAAATGGTGAAAAGTTGAAGGCTTTTCCTCTAAAACCAAAAACAGGTCAAAGATGCCTCTTCTCACCACTATGTTTAACATTGTACTAAAAGTTCCAGCCAGAAAAATCATGCAATAAAAATAAATAAAAGTCACGCAAATAGAAAAGGAAGAAGTGAAATGTTGTGTTTGCTAATGATATGATCTTATATAGAGAAAATTCTAAAGACTCCTCACAAAATCTCTGAGAACTGCTAAAGAAATTCAGTAAAGTTGCAGGAAACAAATTCAGCTTACAAAATCCAGTAGCATTTCTATACACTAACAATGAACTATCTTTTTTAAAAATGAGAAAATAATCCAATTTACAAAAGCATCAAATATAAAATACTTAGAAATAAACTTAATCAAGAATGTGAAAGATCTGTATACTGAAAATGGTAAAACATTGATGAAAGAAATTGAAGATGACACAAATAAACGGAAAGATATTTTGTGTTAATGGATTAAAAGAATATTTTTAAAATATCTGTACTACCCAAAGACATTTATAGATTCTATGCAATCTCAAAGTCTCAAGGTCATTCTTCACAGAAATAGAGAAGTTATAAAATTCATATGAAACCACAAAAGGCCCCAAATTGCCAAAGCCATCTTGAGCAAAAAGAACAGAGCTAGAGGCATCATGCCATCAGATTCCAAAATACTTTACAAAGCTATAGTCATCAAAACAGCATGGTGCTGGCATAAAACAGATACATCATCCAATGTACTAGGATAGAGAGTTCAGAAATAAACACCCACAATTACAGTCTATTAATTTTAGAAAAAAGTGCCAGTAACACACAATGGAAAAAGAACAGTCTCTTCAATAAATGGTGTTGGGAAAATTGGATATCCACATACAGAAGAATAAAAGTAAACTCTTTTCTTACTCCTTATACAGGAATCAACTAGAAAAGGGCTAAAGACTTAAAATATATGAGCTGAAACTGTAAAACTGCTAGAGGAGAACATAAACATAGTGGTAAAGCTCCATGGCATAGGTCTGGGGCTATGTGAAATCACTGTGATGGACAAAAGTAGACAAATGTCACTGCATTGATCTGAAAGCTTTGTACACATCAAAGGAAACAAATAACGGATTGAAAAGACAACCCACAACCTGGGAGAAAATATTTGCAAATCATAGATTGGATTAGAGGCCAATATTTAAATTACACAAGGAACTCATGCAACTCAATAACAAAAAAAACAACCCTATTTAAAAATGGACGAAGGATCTAAATAGACATTTCTCAAAAGAATACATATAAATGGACTACAGATATAGGAAAAAGTGCTGAACCTCTCTGATAATCAGAGAAATGAAAATTAAATCCGCAACGATATATCACCTCACACATGTTAGATTATCTATTATCAAATAGACAACAAATACCAAGTGGGGGGAAGGTATACAAAAAAGAGAACCCTTGTACTGCATCACTGGCATTGTAAATTAGTACAGCCACTTTGGAAAACAATATGAAGGCTCTTCAAAAAACTAAAAATACAATCACTCATGATCCACAGGTTGCCAAAATGCCAGGGGTTCAGTATAGGTCCTGCAGCTCACC